ATCCCGCTTCCACCCCAAATAAGGTTCTAGAGTGTGCTTTTTGTCCGACCTTTGGATTGGACATGCCTCTCTTAGGTTCCCCTCTCTCTTTCACCTCTTCGTCAACAAAGAATCAACCATCGCTGAAGAGATGGTCCTATTAGGTGGCAAAAGGTCTTGGAATCCCTTTTTCAGAAGGAACTTAATCGAGGAAGAGACAACACTCTTCATCTCGATGTCCGCAGCCTTACACCCCATCTTCTTATCTCCCTCAGGGACTGACTCACTGGTATGGACTCTCTCTCCCTTGAGTGCCTTCTCAGTAGCCTCTTTCTACAACAAACTTATTCAACCCATTACTTACCCTCTGAACCCCACTTCTGTCCAATCCAAAGTGTGGTCAACCATAGCGCCTCCAAAAGTCCAAACCTTCAATTGGATGTGCCAACGGGCTCTCACAGTCGACCACCTTCAAAGAGGAGGACTTTCGCTTCCAAACAGATGCAGTTTGTGCCTGCTTGAGGAAGAGACTAACCCTCACCTTTCCTACATTGCAGCCTGGCTTTTGACCTCTGGAGCTGTACTCTTCAGCTGTTTAAAATTCAATGGGTTCTCCCACCCTCGGTCCAGGCTCTCATTCCTCCTACCCCGGCTACCATTGGCCTAAGGCCGGCAGAACTTTGTGGAAGTCAGCAATCGCTGCAATCATTTGGGTTATTTGGATAGAGAGGAATGAGAGGGTTTTCAAAGGCCACAAAAGAGAAGTTCCAGTGCTTTTCCAGAAGGTTACGTCCTTAGTAACGTTTTGGGCCTCAACTCACAAGGATTTTGTAGGGATCTCTTCTAACACCTTTCTCAGTCAGTGGGAAAATATTTTGAACCTCCAACCTTACAAGAAACAAAGGCCCCACAACTGGTTGGCCCCTCCAGTCAACGCCATCAAACTCAACTTTGATGGTTGTTCATTGGGAAACCCAGGGCCATCAGGGGCAGGAGGGGTATTTCGGGATCACAACAACAATATTCTCCTCACCTACTTGGAAAATGTGGGCCATGGAGATTCCCAGGTCGCTGAAGCGATGGCTTTCCTGGGGCCAACACTTGATGGTGGAAGGAGACACCCAAAACATCATCTCTTGGGCAGCAGGCACCTCCCCTTCTCCGTGGTACCTCTCCACAATTTTTGATGAAATTAATCATATATGCAGGGATATGAACGTCTTATGGAGGCATACCTGGCGGACGTCAAACGAGCTCGCTGATCTTCTTGTTAAAGACGGAGCACGGGCAAGTGTGGAAGACTCTGACCGGTCCATCTCCTTTTTTGCTCTGGACCGTAGAGGCTTCCCTGGACTATAGTTACCTTTCCTTTTTTATTGTACTCGGGCGTCTCTTATAAGCCCCATTTTTGCTACACTCTAATTTTTGTAATCTGGCAGGACATGGCTGATTTTTTGTATAGGGTCTTCGGACCTATTTTTTTGACCAAGGTACCTGCCTCGTGGGTACTCGAGGTCCTCTCTTCCCCCTTTCACTTGTACTCTCTCTTACAGCGATACAAAGTTAACATTATCAAAAAAAGAAAAGAGGAAAAGAAAAAAGAAAAAAAAAAGAAGAAAAGAAGAAAAGAAAAAAGAAAAAAAAAAAGAAGAATTTCTTTTTTGAGGGGGCACATACCTTTACTCCTGCATGCACATCCCCCCATCCTATAGCTTCCGCAACAATATTTCATACTTCTAGCCACAGCTTAAGAGCTCGAGGTGAGACTGGTACTTCTCGCTACATCACAATCTCCACCGCTTCAGCAATTCATTCATTGGCTAGGCCTTCTCAGCAGGAGATCCCTAAACAAGGAAAGCATTTGTTCACCCCTACCCCCACTCAAACCTAGCTCTCTCTTCTTCACCCAAACCCTCTCTCTCTAACCATCTTTCTGCCCTCTCTCCAACCAACCTACTCAACCTCCTTTTCTATACCCAGACCCCAGTTCTCTCTCTACCCAAATACACCAAATCTCTTCAACCTAACACACCCCCTATCAATCAAACCCCTATTCCCAACCCATCTCTTTTTTCTGCCCATACTTTTAATCTTTAGTGCTGATAGCAGCAACTTCTCTCTCGGGGCACCTTCTCTCTCCTCCGCATTCTCTCTTGTTCTGTCTTCTTCTTGCTTTGAGTACTCTCTGTACTCTCTCTCCTGCTTTTCTCCTCTACCCTCTTCTCTCCTCTCGTCTCTTCTATCCCTTCTTCTCCTCTTTTCTAACAGCTGACCAGAGATTGCATCTCGCTGCTGCCAGCAGCTAACTCTCTCTCAGTACACCTTTTCTCTCCACCTCTTGGTCTCTATTTCCCCCTTCTTCTTGCATTGAGTACTCTCTCTCCTCCTCTCCTTTCTTTTATTCTCTCCTCTCGTCTCTTCTATCCCTTCTTCTCTTTTCTTCTCTTCTCTAACAGTTGACCAGAGATTGCATCTCGCAACTGAGGCTACCTCTCCCCCTCTTATCTCTCACAGTTTTCTCCTCTCTCCTCCTCCTCTCTTCATATTTCTGTCACCTCTTGATAGCTGACCTCAGATTACATCTCGCTTTTGAAGGCTCCTCCTTCGATAGTTGGAAAAGAGGTGTGATGGTATTTTAGGGATTCACCAAGATAGTTAGGAAACAGAGGTGACAAACAATTTGGGGAAAATAGAATTATGATAATGGGAAAAATTACAAACCCTATCAGTTTCAAAGGCTTTTCGGGTGTGGAAGGTCCGCTGGATAGCCCCTCGCTAGTAGCCAGAGCTCCCATTTTGTTCCACAATACCTCCGTTTTTCTCTATCTTACCTCCCCATCCCTATAACTTCACCAACATCACCCCTTTTTTACCTCTACGAGGTGCTTCTTCTCCTAGCAAAGGAAGCAAGTCAGAACGTCGGTCACCTAAGTCGCACCAACATAGTCAGCTTATGAAGGAAATTTAAAGCTCGCCGGTCGAAAGCAAAACCTGGATAGAGATCTTTTTGGGAGTTTGTTGAACTCGGAGTACTTCTATTGTTGTAGATCGTTTTGTTATTTTTCTACTTTTTACCTCTCCCTCTTTCTCCTTCTTCTCTTACTACTTATGTTTGTCTGAGCACCCAACTTGTGGGAGTGCCGTCTTTAGGTTATAGTCAAATGTATTCTTTCCATTTAATTACAATGTTAACCTTTCTCAAAAACAAATAGAGCCATACTCTAGGGAATATAAAAATATGAGTACATAAACACATGGGAACAGACATCATCGTCAACCTAGCCATATCTCCGACATATATGAGAGCTGAAATCCATAAAACCATGTTCATGGCCTTTAAAGGCCACAAACCCCAACATTCAGAAGCAAAATCAAAGTGCAAATGGCATTGTTTATGAAATATTCGAAACACACTGATACACAAACTCACTGTCACACACCCTTTGTGACAAAAACACCCATGCCAGAAATGTTTCCATGTGTTTGACACCAAAATGTATCTGAGACATGCATCTTTATATCCAGTGGATATATCTTGAAATGTTGCCGAATGTACCTTGGACCATTGCATGTCAAATTCATGCGCGTGCAACATGCTATTGGCATGTGTGACCAAGGTTCTTTTGGAATAAATTAGAGACTGCATGTGTGACCAAGGTTCTTAAAAAAATCAAACTTGCATTTCCAAGTCATGAACACATTCATTGAAAACTAGGACATGTGCAACAAAAAATTGCACATCCAACATTTTGGATGCATGTCTTAAATTTGGGTATGCATATCCTGACATGGGACAAGTATTCAGATTATATTTATAATATTAAACCTGGTTTATTGGTAAATGCTAACTTTATATGTAAATGTGAAAGTACCCATATATGGTCTTGGACAACGGGATTTCAATAGAATATGGATGTGTCAACATTGGCAACTCCTTATTCTACCAACATACTAATGTCTCTAGGTGCATTATGAGACACTGGATCTCAACGTCCTTGTCCTAGGGAAGTATATAATTCTTATCCTCATTTGGTGCACGTGATCCTTCACCAAAAATTTTGGATATCAAACACCTCTACACTCTGCTACAGCCTACAAGTCATTTGTGTTTGAGTAATTTTTTGTTGTTTGCTGGGGCCAATAACTGAAATAATTTTTAAGGTCGAAATTTGGCTATATAACAGATTTTGAAGTTTAAATGTGAGCAGTTACTACATTTAGTTTATTGACCCTAGCAAAATGATAGGAATTACCACTACCTAAAATGATAAGCAGTCGAGAACAATTGCAAGGGATTTTTTGAGAACGTATACAAGTCCCCCTCACCCATACAAATGTATAGGGGGAATGATCAGACTTATTATTGTGGGATTTCTTCGATATTAGATCTCCTATGTCGTTGGGTTAGAAACACTATGGAAACCAGGTAACCTGGTATCTATTGATGGTGCAAGGAACTCACTCAAGAGTAGGTAGAATGGACCTTGCACGATAGCATTCCCATATACATGTATGAATGTCATTACATTATAGATTTTCATCTTGTCAATTCTAAGTATATGTACAATTTCGTCATTGTTTACTTGCAAATTTTTTTTTTAAGGGTTTTTGTTTTTCCAATTCTCACTGAGAAGTGTTTTCCAATGATTATCTTCATTGTTTGGACATAATAAACTGTCCTTTTTCATGCATGGGCAGATTCATAGCATTACAATTATGATATTGTGCTTTTGCGCTTTGCTGCAGTACCTGCTGAGACTTTTATTACAGTGATTCGGATTGATATAGACTGGTTTTTGTCTTGTATGCGTTATCAAAATAATTTTAGTTAATCCTTTTCTCCGCAAAAATTTCCAATGGTCCATTTTTATTCAAGTTCACAAGAGTGAATGGATAGGGACATCATCAAATTCATAACTCAAGTTCCCTATTAGTTACACAATTTTTATATGTATGCTTATTTTGACTGCTGATTTTTATTGTTCATTTCTTTCAATTACCTATGTTTGTGATTGCCATAGGTGATTTTGACCACCTTGTTAAAGGTATATGTTCGCGGTTGCTTTTTTGATAAATCCAGAGAATTACTAGCTGAACTTGATACTTTGGGCTTTGCGAGAGATGAGGTACACAGTAAACTTCGGCAAGTGCCTAATTTTTCATTGGCTTTTCCTTTGATGTTGAAGTTCTACATATCTTAATTTTTAGGTGATTGCTAATTGCCCGTGTTTTTGTCTTTCCCACACAAAACATGGATGGAAATGGCAGGTGCTTGGTTTCCACCATATACATATGAAACACATGGGGCCAAATAGAAATCCTAATTTTAGGCTAAAAAAATTGCTCTCTTTCTCTCTCTCTCTCTCTCTCTCTATATATATATATATATATGCTTGTTGGATATAACTCAATGAGAATATGGGAGAATATTGTGGTCTAATCACCTTCCAGATTGGGAAAGTGGTATAAATTGGATCTATGGAAGGCTCCAAAAAGGCATTGCACATGTTATCTTTAATTCATTTCAATGAGCCAGTTCAACCTTAAATTAGCTAGTTGGCAGCTGAATTATTTCATTTTGACTGGTTCATTTGAATCAATATGGAACAAAGCAGCTCTCGTGCTTTTTGCGTAAATTGATGGTCTTAGTTTTTTCTTTTTTATGCTTTATTTGTTGATTTTCATTTCAAGTTAGGAAAGCTCAAATGACTTGTTAGTGGATTTATAAATGCCGAACAATATTTGATTTGGGGTGGTGGGAATTATCTCCTCACAGTTTTGGGGTATTCCAAGAGGAAACTCTTTCACAGGCATCTTGCTTGATTGTCTGTGATTACATGTTAATATTAAAAATACAGCACTTTTATGCCCTTGTTCAAAATTGTTTTTGAACCTTATGATACGGAATGGAATTTGGGGAGATAGTGTTTTTTAACCTCTAGTCCTCTTGGTATATTGCTCTGGTTTTTATGATTAGGATCTACGTGTTTTGGAATTGCATTTGTTAGACCACGGGTCTTAAACTTTTTTATATTGACTTTTGTTGCTTGGTAAGTGGATGTTGTTCTAGGATGGAAGAAGAAACACCCGAAATCAAGTGCTTACTAAATGCATTTTTTTGTTTGGTAAGATGGAATAATACCTCTTGAATGGCACATAAGTGGGATTTAACCCATTTTAAAACGATGAACTTTTTGTTATCTAGTTCCTCAAATTTTATTTATCAATTGTTAAAGAAATTAGTAAAGGAAATAATTAACTTAGAATGCTTTTATGGTACCATGTACATCTTGTTTAGTTGTTATTTCTAATATTTTTTTATCAGCATTATTTCCTAATATGTTATATTATGTCATTACATTCTGCTGTAATTTGAACTTGCGATTATCAGGAGGTGGTTTCTCAATCAGTTCCCTTATTCTTTCTTTCTATGTAGGAAGGGTAATATCAAGTAATCATGAAGGGTGGGTTAGAGTGGGAGTAAGTCTTAGTCGTTCTGTGACAAAAAGATGCCCTTTTCTCGCTAGGCGGCCCTGGGTTTGTTGGGTCTTGCCCCTTTTTATTATGACTAAGAATGTTGGGGCACAATGATTTACGTATTCAATTTGGAGGATAAGAGGTGCATATCACACAAGTGATACAATGTCAAGTTTGAGGTGTGTGCGTAAGAAGTTAAAAAGATGCTCTTGTCTGTTACATAAATGACCTACTTGCCCCAATTTATACACATCTATTGCTAAAAATAGAGGTTCATTGTATTAAAACTGGGTATCACCTTGTGGAAAGGATGATTTACCTCTGTAGTTACTCCTGCATGTGTCCACTATTATATATCATTCGATACTATGTTTAGATGTATAATTTGAAAGAACTATTTTATATCGCTTCATCTCTTTATGAACTGTTATCTACCAAAAATAAGACAATTTTTGCTCTCTCCATTCTATATTAGTTATATATTCCATGCAATAGCATAAGTAATTCTAATGAGAAATATATGAGCTTTTAATTTCTGACGGTAGTGTATATTACTTAATATTTGAGAATGTGTGAATTAGGTGAAAGGATAATTTTTTTCCCCTTCATGGAAGATGATGGTATTGGTAATGAGACATTATGGCGTTTATACTGCCATATAATATTAATAAGCCATACAATGGAGACCATGTTTTTTTTAAAAAGAGAGAAAGATCACAAAATGGAGACCAAGGATTCTATTATAATATTGAAATTTGAGGGTGTGTTCTAGTGCAATGCTCTTTAATTGCTAACTTGTATTTATATACTTCTTGGAAAAATTATACACTTTCTGTTTGTAACACAGTGACTCCATGATGTCCATAATATCTTTAAAACACTGTTCTTTCTGAGATCCCATTGGACATAATTTTGATATTGCGCTGATTGGAGCAATATTACATTTGAAATGCCAGGCATGCATCATGTGGTAACCAGTTTCATTTGATTGGGTTGGTATGATCTATTTGATTTCTTTGAAACACTTATCCTTTTATAAATATCACAGAAAAAAAATGTATGCATGAAAGAGTACATTTGACAATGCTTGGTTAGCCTCGCCTTTGCTGCAATTGATGCTACAAAATATTCTTCAAATTAAATAGAACCTATATAATCAAGGTTTCTATTATTTTGCCTCAAAATATCAGCAAATGACAAATATATGTCATTGACCTTTATGTTCGGGTAGAATTGGTGAGAACTATTGGGTTGTGTTCAGAAAAGTGGGCCTTGACCTAAAATTGGTTAAGCGACGTAGCTAATTGTAGCCATTACTGAGTGGAAGGGTGATGTTGTGATTCTAGTGCCTGTTTCACTGGTTCTTTGCATAATATGGTGGCAATCCTTGATGCATCAACAGATTGGCAAGGCAATCTGCATTTGTTTTTTGACAGACCAATATCTATCTGTCTATATATATTACTGAATTCAGTCAGATTATGCGAATTTAGACCTACTTATCAGCAATTTAAGTGCTTGATACCCGTCTTTCTGTGCTTAGTTAAATGGTAGATGTAATGTTGTCAGCTTATGGATTGGTTTACAAAAGGTGGAAATGAAAAAGTTCGGAATAGTATTGAAGCCAAAGCATCTTTTCTCAGCTTTTCTGTTAACCAGCCTTGGTGCTTCTCAAATTTATGTCACAATACATATTTTTTCAGATGCCATATTGTCTATTGATGGATGGACTTGCAAAAGCTGGACATATCGATGAGGCCAAAGCGGTCTTTGAAGATATGAAGCAAAAAAATGTGAAGTCGGGTAATAACTTTTCTAGAATTCAACAGTTTCTTAAGATTGAAATACATGATGGATGCAACAAAAGAGAAAATTCTTATAAAACATTCTTTGGATTTCTACAGATAAATATCTATGGGACTTGCTTAATAATTATTTCTAGAAATAAGTAGTTGGAAAACAAAAGAGACGTGTCTCCAAATAGTAAATAATCATATGATATGCAGTATTTTTTGATTTCCTAGGAGACATTCAAAATGACTTTTTAATTCTATTATGGTTTTCAACATTTTCAGTAAGTATGTAGCCTATGTTTATTTTGGTTGCTTAGTAGTAGTGGGAAGCATAATTTGATAAAGTGTCACTTCATTTGTTAAATGGTGGGGTGAACTTTTTCAAATAGGACCTAAACTTTAGAAGCATGCTTTATTTGTTCATGCTTATTCGAATTATGCTCACACATTTTTCTTTAGCCTTAACTTTCAAGATGCCTTGGCTAATTTTGTTCAGTCAGTTTGTCATATATTGCTATTTTACTTAACTTTTGGTTTGTTATTAGAATTTGGTTTCTTTTGAGCTAGTGATGAATATCCATGAACTATTTATTAGTGTACATGCATTGATACATATGTCCACACATGCATGCACGTATACTTGCATATATTGCATGCTTACATAGATACATAAACAGATACATATGTCCACACATGCATGCACGTATACTTGCATATATTGCATGCTTACATAGATACATAAACAGATACATACCAACTTACATGCATACATGCACACATGCATGTGTAAGCGCATACGAACATATGGGCATATTTGCACATACTTGGAAAGATGGTTGTGTGCATACATTAAGATTGATAGAGTGTAGTGAGAGAGCGTAAAAAGGAACTACAAATTTTGGATTTCAAGAGGTCTATTGGTTATGTTACTCAAACTTTCTATCATAATTATTTGCGTACATATGATAAAATGCTCAAATTTGCTCTACAATAAAAAGAATCTGCCATTGTAATGGATAGAAGTGGAAGTTTCTTTGTGAAAACACCCAAGGAATATTTGTTGCATCAGGAATAGGAACAGGTGAATAGACAATTCAACAAATTATGGGTCGCTTAGGAATCACCATAAGACTGTTAGTTTTGGGTCTGCAAATGTGATGGCTCCAACAACTAAGAATGGAAACTCATAGTAGATATGCATGGGTTTGCAAAGATATTTGTAAAAAATAGAGAAAATTTGCAATAGGTCTTCTTGGTGCCATCGAAGATTACTTATAAGGCCAATTTCTTTTGCTGTTTTAACATTGTACGAAGCATGTCATGTCTGTTATTGCTGAATGAGGGTACACTACAAATTCTAAACAAAATCATCAAGTTACCATCTTTTAAGTAATTCGGCCTCTTCATTGGCTTGGCTGTGACTGTAATCTTTTACGGACTAGTGGATGGCATCCTAGCGTTACTAATCACATTGGGAATCCCCTTCATGATCGTGGTCGAGAATGAATAGTCAAGTCTTTTTCCGTTAGGCAGCCACGATCTAACAAAATTAATTTTAAGATAATAAATCCGTGAAGAAACCACAGTAAAGAAGATTCCTCTACAGCACCTGCTGAGCATTGTTTATCTGAGATGTTTATGAAGATTGATTTACCCTAAATAACCAGCAGGGTGAGGATAGTGAAAGCAAACTTCCTTGATGGCAATAGCAATACGGTCTAACATGGCCTTTCCCCTAGGAACATCTACAATCAATCCTGTGTGCTTGACAAGATCACCTTCGATGTAGTAGCAATAGCCGATGATTACTTGGAGAAAAGAGAGAGAGAAAAAAATAGTATAATAGGAAAAAAGTGGCCTGCAAATAAGTCGTCAACATTTTTTAGCCTATCCTAGTAAAGGGAGGTAATAAAAAGGGGTTATTTGTAATAAGCAGAATTCATTTGGCCTTTTTAGAAGTCACTTAAGTTGTAGAGGATATTTTTGTGCTTTTGCCTTTTAGTTATGTTTAAGGGTCTAGATTAAAAGATGGGGTCTAATCTAAGGGCTAGTGTTGAACCCTGCAGGTTTTGGGAGAAAACAAATAGAAGCTTATATAAGGCAGATCTAGCCACCTCTTTTACTTGAATAATACAGCAGGAAGAAGGGACGATCTGGCACTTTCTCTCCATCTTCTTGTGGGGATGTGATCTTAGGGTGGGTTCCAACCCTGTGACATGTATTTCTACTTGATTTTCCCTTTTTGTGTAGAGAGCCAGATGAGTTTGGAGAATGCTATAGGGACACACGGCATACTGAAATGAGTATATCAAGTAGAGTAAGTTGAAATCGAAGAAGAGGAGAACAATTAGATAGGTTCTAGAGAGAGAAAGAGAGGAAAGAAAATAAGGAGAGAGTGAGAGAGGGAGGCATGTCAGAGAGAGAAAAAAGAGTGGCGTGTTAGTCTCTTGTGACCTCAATCCCTCTTATTTGTATTACAATCTACGACCAATATTACCCTTACTTAGAGAAATAAGACAAATAAGTCCTAAACAAAGATAATAGACAGTCCTGCCCATCAAATACAATAAAACTTAATTCTTTTATTTCCAATACTCCCCTTCAAGCTGGTGCATAGATATCAATCATGCCTATCTTGCTTGTGATATTATGTAATCTGTCCTGTCCAATAGCTGTGGTGAAGCTATCTGCAAGTTGATCTTTAGACTTCACATGAGGAGTTTTAATGATCTTGGCAGCAACCTTCTCTCTTATGAAGTGACAATCAACTTCAATGTGTTTAGTCCTTTTATGAAATGCAGGATTTTCCACAATATGAATATTGCTTCATTGTCACAATTATAGAGTCATGGGAAGCTTAGCTCTAACCCCCTAATCAAGAAGAACACTTTGGATCCACATTACTTCACATGTACCATGAGCCCTATATTCTGCTTCTACACTTGATCTTGCCACCTCATTTTGTTTCTTGCTTTTCCAAGTAACCATGTTTCCCAAAATGTAGTTACAATAGCTAGTTGTGGATCTTCTATCATTTTGGCAAGCAGCCCTATCAACATCAGTGTAAATTGCAACATTAGGATGCCCTTGATTGGAGAAAAATACCCCTTTCCTTGATGTAGACTCGAGATATCTTAACATTTTGTGCACTGGATCAAGGTGTGGTTTATGTGATGCACGCATAAATTGGCTAATCACACTAACTGCATAAGATATGTCTGGTCGAGTGATCGTGAGGGGTCCTTAATCTTTGATATTGAACACCTTACTTGAATAAGATTTAAGATCTTTAATGCCTTTCACCTTATCCTTTGTCACAACCATATCATTAACATACACTATTAGGGAAATAATACCAACAACATTCTTCTTCACAAAGTGTATGATCAGATTGACTCCTTTTGAACCCAAATTTAAGTAAAGCTTCACTGGATTTTTTAAACCACGCTCTAGGAGGTTGTTTAAGTCCATATCGCCTTCTTTAACTTGCACACCTTTCCTGTCTCCCTGTTAATCTGAAAACCAGGGGGCATGGCTATATACATCTTCTTCGATGTCTTCATGCAAGAATGCATTCTTAACATCTAGCTGATGGAGTAGCCAGGATTTATTAGCAACTAGTGAAAGAATGATCCTCTTAGTGTTCAACTTGGTCACAGGAGCAAAAAGTGTCTCAGTAGGTTATACCAAGAGTTTGAGTGGAACCTTCTGCAACCAATCCTACTTTATACCTTCCAATGGTGCCATCAACTTTGTATTTTACCGTGAATGTCCACAAGCATCCCACGACTCTCGTCCCTTTAGGAAGGTTGGTGATTTCCCATGTATTATTTCATTCAAGTGCTCGCATCTTGTCAACCGTGACAACCTTCCATTGAGGTTGCGAAATTGCTTCTGGAATGCATGAAGATATTCTAACAGAAGATAGAGCAGATATGAAGGCACAGTGAGAGGAAGACATTGAATTGTAGGATATGAAGTTTCCTATTAAATGTTGAGTGCAAGAACGTACACTTGCGAATGGTACTAGGTAAGTCTAAATTACGATTATTTGAGAGGGTGAAAGAGTTACCTGAGTCGGGAACAGTTCCTGATTCTGGGTTGGCATTCTAGGTGTAGTCGCTTAGAACTTAGGGTTGTACCATTTTCTTCCTTCTGGGATATGTCTTAAGCTCCTTCTTTGGGCGCGCGCTATTTGCTTCAGATAAACCATTCTCTTCAGATAAAGGCGGTGTGCGAATAGGAAGGGGAAGAGCTAATGTGCTCTCTTCACTAAACTGCATGTTATTATCCCCCTAAAGAAAGAACTCATGACCTGTAGAAGAGAAGTATGGAACTGATCCAAAGAAAGTAACATCCATGGAGACATAATGGACCTTCGTAATAGGATCTAACACATGTATCCCTTTTGATGAGCAGAAAAAGACATTTGATAGCTTTAGCATCTTTGTCCCTCTTTGGGCCAAGGATGTGGACAAAACATACACAACTAAACACCTTGGGGCACAAGAAACATGGGTTAGTTAGGATTAGCAATTTTAGCGGGGGATTTTCCCTAAAAAATACGAGAGGGCATGTGAGTTATTAAAAAGGTAGCAGTGAGAATTGCTTCAGACCAAATTTCTTTTTAGAATTTTCATTCCTAGTAAAAGAGCTCGGGTGACTTCCAACAAGTGTTTGTTGTTTTCTCTTAGCTATACATTCTGCTGAGGTTTGTATGTCATGTTTTTTGGAACTCAATCCCTTGATCAAGAAGATGATCTCTGAGTTTGTTTCACACATACTCAACTCCTTTGATGGACGACAAGACTTTATTTTGTGCATCATATTGAGTTTTAACCATTTTGTGATAAACTTTGGAATAGATTAATAACTTCATCTTTGTGTTTTATTAGATAGATAGCTGTAAATATATAAGAGAGAAAGGAATATTACTTTATTTATTATTAATGATAGGAGATGAAGTTCTATAATGTTTTGACAACTCACAAATGTCTCATTGCAATTGAA